AAAAAAAAAAGAAATATGCCTGTGAGAGGGGAAGCTTGAGGGCCGATTCTTCCATAAGAACTCTGCACCCAAATGATAGTGAAACTTGCTTTTTAGCCTTTGCAGAGGCTTTGCATAATGCTCTGAACTGACAATAGATATAAGAACTTCTGGGATCCAGCTGGCTCAGGGAAGTTCTGCCTACAGATTAAAATGTTCACTTGTTGTACAGAACAGAATTCCAGATAGCTAAGGGGGTGGGTCCAGAACTGTAAAGGAAAAATCTTCAAATATTTTTAAAAGATTCTCTATTATAAAATGAATAATTAAAATAGTGACAAGGGGACCGGGGAGATGGCTCAGTGGAATAAGTGCTTCCCTGGCAGGCAAAAGGGCCTGAGTTCAATCCCCGGTTCCGCCAATAAATAAATAAATAATAAATAAAACAGTGACAAGAAGATTGTTGGATTTAAAGGACCTGAATTCAAGTTGTAGCTCAACCACTCTGGCTATGTGTTTCTGACAAATAATGCTTAACTGGGTGCTCAAATTGAGGCTAGTCCCAGCTGGATCTCAAGCGAAGCTGTAAAGGGGAAATGATACTCAGCTGGGTGTGGTGGTGTACCCCTGTGATCTCAGCACTTGGGAGGCTGAGGCAGGAGGACTTCCTTGAGTTCAAGGCCAGCCTGGGTTACACAGTGAACTGAAACCCAGCCTGAACTGCATAGTGAAACCTTGCCTCAAAAAGACTAAACAAACAAAAAAATCAAGGGGCTGTCATCTCTAGATTTGTCATCTCTAGTTTTTTCAGGCTAGTTATTATCCAGCTATCTTTTATTTTATAGGAAACCTGGTTTTTAAATTGGATAAAGGCCCCTAGGTGTCATTCAGCACCTCTATTTCAGTGGAAGTATGCTACATTTCAACCACAGAGGGGCACAGGGCATGGGTGGTGGTGGTCTTACAGAGAGCTGAAGGATCAATATGATGTTCTTTGTGGCTAACTACAGAGAATTTCAAGAGTAATTTTTTCTCTTTAGATTTTTACTCGAATCAAAGCTTCCTGCATAAAGTAGATGTGCATGGGCCAGGTGGGGAGACAAGGAAAAAATGATGTGTCATGTGCATGTCCCAACTCCCCGTGATGAATGCAATCATTCTGCACAGCAAACATGTTGCTAATTAAAGATTTTTAAAAAGTAGGTGTTTTTGAGCTGCCTCTGGCCTGGCTGCATCCCACAGAGGAGAGGTCTGGAAAGACATTTGGGAGGTCAGTGCCGGGTGAGCTGTGGGCCAGGCTTAGAGAGCAGCCGCCTTTCCTGGTGACTAGCCCTGCTCGGCTGGCAGGTGGCTGCTGTGTCCTGCCTCCTGCTCTCTGAGGGGAGGATTCATGCCCTGCCACATCCGAGGCTCGCACTTGAGAAGCGCAGTGCCTTTCTGTCTTTGGTTAGGCCCAGCTCAGAACTACAGTCCCAATACACAGAGTGGCACAAGTACTACCTAGCAGAGCCCTTTCAGGAATGATGGCCCACAGGGGCAGTGGCCCTAGGACTGCACTTGCAGGCAGCAGGACGCAGTAGCAGAGCTTACCTGGGAAGGGGTGTCAGGGCGCCTCTCTTCTTCAGCTTCCCTGCTGCCCATGACAGCTTTGTGCTGGATAGGTGATGATCTCACATCTAAGGAAACCTGGCTCTCTGGAGTACTGACTGTGGGAGGAGGCCAAGGCCTGTCTGTGTTAGGGTGCACAGAGAACAAACTCCAACTTGAGGCACTCTCTGTTTCCTTGGAACTGGTGCTATCAGGCCCACTCTGTTCTTCTGCCATCTCCAAATTCTCTTCCTTCTGTGTCTTGCTCCTCTTGGCTCCTGGGTTCCTTCCTTTGGAAATTAGTTCTGATTTCTTTTCAGCGTTTGAGTCCTTTGACTTGCCTGGGAGAGAACAATTAGGGACAAAGATACAGGCTTGGTAAGAAATGTGATCTATGTATATCCTTTTCAATAACCTTGAAACTGCAGCATAGGATGGAATTGCCTGGTGTGAGGAATCAGAGCCTGGTTCAGCAGAAATATGCAAGGTAATGATGTCCTGAAGGCAGTTCTCAGGGAACCTGTTGAGGAACTGCACTATCCTATTTGGATCAAGGGTCCTTCAGTAGGATTGCTAATGAAAAGTTCTATTTCTTGGTTAAATGTGTAGCTCAGTGATATAGCACATGCTTAGCATGTGTGAGGCCCTGGTTTCAATTTCTAGCATCCTAAAAAAAACAATAGGTCCTTTTTTTTTGGTGGAACCAGGGTTTGAACTCAGGCCCTTGCGCTTGCCAGGTAAGCACTTATTCCACTGAACTATCTCCCCAGCCTCGATAGATCCATTTCACCTGTGGTCAGGGAAGACTCTCTAGGGAAGACCTGTAGACATAGTCAAACAATCCTGAGAGTCTGGCTTGATACTACAGCTTTGTAGCCTGGTGAAGTTTAAAACTAAGGCCCCCTCAGTTTACCTTTGAGGCCATGAGGATTTTATTTTTTTATTTTTGTTTTGTTTAGTTCTGCCAATGTTAACGAGCTACACCAATGTAAGCTCACCAAGGACTTAACAAAGAAAACCTCAAAAATAGATCTGGTCCCAGGAGCATATCCAGTGCTGTCCCTCCCAATAGCACACAACATGTTTGGAGTGTTTTCTGAATTAGGTAGGCAGGAAGTAATGGGTACATTTCAGACAAACAGAAGTCTTCACAAATACAAGAACCTGCATTCCTTCTAATGTGGACCACAGGGTCTTGAGACGAGACATAGTAGGTGAAAGGACTACCCAGAGCTTCTGGAATCCTCCCAGCTCCCCAACCCTCTCCCTACCTGAACACTCATTTGGACAAACAGGTCACACGTACCTCATCTGAAATGTTAGGAACCAAAAGTGTGGATTTTGAATATTTTCTGATTTTGAAATATATGCATTTTCATGGTAAGAAATCTTAGGGATAAAACCTAAGTCTGTAGCAAGAGATTTATTTGTGCTCCATATACACCTCCTGCACACAGCATACAGATAACTGTATTTCATATTCTCAGTGCAGCTGACTTCTGGGAAGATGGAGTGATAAACAACAGAAAAACAGCCTCTTTGAGATTTGGTGTCCAGATGCTAGAATATAGTAGCATGAAGAAGAGAAGAAGAGGGGAAAAGGATCCCTGGGACTTAGCAAGGATCTGAAGAAATGAAGCCCCACAGGGAGAGCAAAGGAGGAACCTTAATGCACAAGCAGATAGCAAGCAGTGCTTTATCCCTAGTCCTGACTCACTGTGTGGGAGGGGTGGCTCAGACCTGCAGGAGTACAGTGATTGCTGGGGACCCAATGGCCTCCATGGAAAAATAAACCAGTGGAATGCAGCAGTGGATGCAGTGGACTGCAGTGACTGGTTGAGTTATTTGGGTTCAGATGTCCCTCAGGAGAGGGCTATTGGCCCATAGCCATCTGAGAAAAGGGTCATTTGAGCTTAAAACTCAGAGTAGCTGTGGGCTGGTTTCATCTAGGGCTCCTGGTGGCAGGGTGAAGTAGATCTGAGTTCAAGTCAACAGGAGGTCAAAGAGCTGAGTTCAAGCTGGCAGAAGGCATATGGAATGTTGCAGGCTAAACAAATCTGGTTCCAGCCTCACAGCCAAAACCAGCTTGAACTTCAGTGGAACTAAAGGTGCAGGCTTGCTGGGATTTACCAATATGGATCTGGGCTCTGTCTACCCACTCTGCCAGTGACAGCAGGGACATGCCGTGAAGTGGGCTTTTTTCCTTCTATTTCTTTTGTTTTGTTCTTTTTTTTTTTTCTTGTTTGTCGTTATTTTTAAATGAGTATGAAAGGGCCTGACAGATAGCTCAGTGGACTAAAGTGCCTGCTTAGGCAGGCACAGGGACTGGGGTTCAATCCCCTGCGTGCTGTGCTGGTGCTACCCTGGGGGTGCACTGAGACAGCCAGTGAAACTGGGCATGGTGGTGTGTGTTTGTAATCTAGCGCTTGGGAGGCTGAAAAACAGGAGAATCACTATAAATCCTATCTGTGTAGTGAGACCTTGTACTAAATACATTTTAAAAAATGAGTATGGACATTGTTTCTAGATTTTTTTTGTTGTTCTCTTCTTTTTCTTTCTTTCCCTCCTGTCTTCTGCACCAGATTGCCAACATTTGCATATTCTTTCTTTGTCCTCCAGCCTTGCTTCTAATCTCTTCTTTTGATTTCTCTTATTTTTTTCCCCAACCCCTTTTGAATTTCTACACTGAGTGTAAAATTGTCACATTGAGGGCATATCTATTGTGTACAATTTTCTGGTTTGCTTTAGATTTTGTTATACAACCACAGATTGGGGCTAGGGAGATAGCTCAGCAGAATAAGCACTTGCCTGGCAGGCAAAAGGGCCTGAGTTCAATCCCTGGTTCCACCAAAATAAATAAATAAAACCACAAATCTAGCCCACATAGTTGAAGGTGGCAGATTTTTTTTTTTTTGACATCAGTTATTTTATTTTAAAGAAAAAAAATAAAAACAATGGTACAAAATCTCAAAACAAGATTTTAGGAGAGTAACAATGGTTAGTACATTGTGTATTGTTACTGCCAAAGTAGTTTCTCATATTACAAGATATAGGCAAGAAATAATAAACAACATAGGTGCAAACCTCTGGTTTTTTTTAAAGTCAACAGAAAATGGAAATATACTTTTTAAAAAGTGGCAGATTGAAAGTTACCACATTTGTTATTTTCTAGGCTATTTGATGCTAATGTTATTGCTGATTATACTACTTTAGCTATGGTGACATAATTGTTCTAAGCAGTTGTTCTTTCTCATATGTCAAGACTGAGATTGTCTAAGGATAACAAATAATATGATAGGCCAGTGACAAAGGGGCAGGGCTTAATAGGCAATAATTTTTTGTCTGCAATAAATTGAAGAGGCAAGATCTTGCAACACACTCAAAACCCAAAAGACAGCTACACCTGGAAGACACCCATGGGAAGTAGTCATTTCCTAAGGGTTAGAAATACTAGCAATGAAGCTACTTCCATAAGCAATTTATAAGCATGAACCCAGGAATTCAACTAAAACAAATAAGCAAAAAGAAAATGAGAAGATACTGAAATAAGATGCAACCCCTGACTTCCACCTCACCAAATGCAAACCCAGAGGGCAATGAGGTGGAAGAATTTAAAAGTCCGCCCACCTGGACTCTCTAAAGTGGTAACCGTAGAAGTAACAAAGAAAAGTCAAATCAGAAATAATTTCTCACATAACTACAGAGATGGTGACCATAATGAAAGACAGTGATTCTGGAGCAGATACAGATTAAAATAGATAGAGGAGCCTAGGAAAATGAATGCCTAATACAGAAAAGAAATGGAATCTATGAGCAGGAAATTAAAAATTCCATTGAAAGTATATGCAGAAGAATGAGTATGTGAGGACAGAAGAGCAGATAGAGAAGACAGGATTGCAGTTAGTGATCATGAGAAGAAATATTTCTTAGAAGTATTAAGGGACCACATATAATTAATCCAACAGCTGTTAGATGATGCAAAGAATAATATAAGATTCATCAGAACCATTAAAAAACAGGAGACAGCACAAATGACATAAAAAACCTATTCATGGAAGTCATGGAAGAAAACTTCCCAAGCATAGAATTAATTTGACATACAGATAAATGTGGAATATAGAGCTCCAATTAACCATGATAAAAACTAAAGCAAAGCATATAATAGTCAATATTCTAGAAATTCAACACAAGAAGAGCCTATTAAAAGCTGTTAGAGAAAAGAAACAAATCACCATGAAGGAAAGCTCATACAAGTCACAAAAGACTTCTTAACACAAACACTCAAGTCAAGAAGAGGTTGGAGTGAAGTAGTTTAAACTCTAAAAGAAAACAACCTCCACCCAGATTGATGTGCTCCACAAAACTGTCTTTTTTATTTTTATTTATTTATTTATTTTAGGGCCGGGGAGATGGCTCAGTGGAATAAGCGCTTCCCTGGCAAGTGCAGGGGCCTGAGTTCAATCCCCGGTTCCGTCAAATTTAAAAAAAAAAAAAAAATGGGGAATCCCATATTTATTTATTTTATTTTATTTTATTTTTTTCGGAACTGGGGACTGACCTCAGGCTCTTGTGCTTGCCAGGGAAGCGCTTATTCTACTGAGCCATCTCCCTGGCCCCAAAACTGTCTTTTTTAATTGATGGAGAAGATAATTCCATGACAACAACTGAAGAAATCCATGAACACCAAACTAGCACTCCGAGATGTTCTAAAAGACATTCTAGAAAGAGATAACAAGGACTACAACTCCATGAACTCCAATAGAAGGAATACACCAGGCAAGGCAAAGAGGTAAATAGAAGAGGGAAAAGGGAGGACCCAACAATAGGAAAATAACATGAAAAGGATAAGTCAGTATGTATCAGTTTTAACAGTCAGTGCTAATGGTCTCAATTCACCAATCAAAACACACAGACTGGCAGAATGGATCAAGGAGCAAGATCCAACAATGTACTACGTAAAGAAACACATTTAACTAAAAAGGAAATTTGTATACTGAAAGAAAAAGGATGGAAAACAATACTCCATGTGACAGGAACCCACAAAAAAGCAGGGATAGCTGTTCTGTTTGCAGACAAAGGGAATTTTAATCCAAGACTGATTAAGAGAGACAAAGAAGGTCAGTACATCCTTGTAAAGAGAACAGTCCATGAGGAAGAGATAATAATTATGAATACATATGCACCAAATACCAGTGCACTCAAATATAAAAAAAATATTAATGGACATAGAAAAATCAGATAACTAATAGTAAAATTGTATGGGGCACCTCCATACCCACTGTCACTAACTGACCAAAAATCAACAGAAGCATCTGAGCTGAACCAAACTTTTGAACAAATGAACTTAGTAGATGTTTATAGAGTGTTCCCACCAAAACATCACCACATACTAGCTCATGGAACATAAATGCAAATTAAATTAAAATTATCCCATACATACTATCAGCACATATTACAATAAAATTGGAAATCAACAACAAAAGAAAACTTTACAAACATATGGAAGTTAAATAATACTCTCCTGATCAAATGGGTCTCAGATTAAATGAAAAAGAAATTAGATAGTTTCTACAATTAAATGCTAATACCAGTACAACAGACCAGAATTTATAGGATACAATGAAAGCAGTCCTACAAGGAAAATGTATAGAGGTGAATACTTATATCAGGAAAACAGAGTGAGCTCAAATAAACAACTTAATGTTTAACCTCAAGCACCTAGAAAAAGATGAATGAGTGAGGCCCAAACATCTTACAAGGGAGGAAACTAAGAAAACACTACAAAGAATCAATAAATTGGAGAGTTGGTTCTTTGAAAGATTAAATAAAATTAATAAACTCTTAACCAATTCTATCAAAAAGGGAGATAAAAGACTCAAATCCATGTAATTAGGAATGAAAAGGGTAAAGTCACAGCAGATCTTGCAGAAATACAGATCCTTGTAATGGTTCATACATTGTGTCAACTTGAGAAGTTTGGAAGTTTAAGCAACTCAGCAGGGAACCATGGTCTCACTTTATAAACATCCTCATCCTGTGCAAGAGGAGGGCATGGAGGTGGTGTGAGTGCTACACCCACTGCAGCTGGTAGTCTCCTTACAATATATAAGGGAGGAAAAAGAGGCTTGTTCCTCCCTTTTTGCTTTTGTTGCTTTTCCTGCTTTGAACTGTTGCCCTGAGCCACGTCACTCTGCCTGCACAGTTCATAATAGCTAAATCTTGGAACAGTCCAAATGGTCCAAATCAACCAGTGAATGGATAAAGAAGATGTGGTTTTTTATACAATGGGATACTACTCTGTCATAAAAAGGGACAAGCTTGAGACTTTTATAGCTAAATGGATGGATCTTGAGAACATGCTTTTTTTCTTTTTTCTTTTTGGTGCTGAGAATTGAACTCAGGACCTTGTGCTTACCAGGCAGGCACTATACTGCTGAGCTATATCCCTAGCCTGGAGACCACACTCTTAAGTGAAATAAGTCAAGCATGCATGTTTAAATACCACACTGTGGGGGCCAGGGAGATGGCTCAGTAGAATAAGCGCTTGCCTGGCAAGCGCAAGGGCCTGAGTTCAATCCCCAGTTCTGCCAAAAAAAATTATAAATAAATAAATAAATAAATAAATAAATAAATACCACCTTGTTTCCCTGGTGTAAAAACTGAAAATATAAATAAGGACTAAAATGTATAATATATACTGGGAAAGGAGAAGCAAGTATTCAAATGAGAAGAGGATAAAGAAGGGACAAGAAAAAAGGAGGATAGAAAGAAAAAATAGAAACAAAGCTTTTATAATTAAAGAGGGGAGGAGAGGCTGAAGGGGTGATGGGAATGGGCAAAAAGAAGTGGTAGGGTATATCATGTCCAGGTACAAATTCCCTATGATAAATGTGATCATTAGATATCCCTAAAATGTACCAATGTAAAAAAATAAAAAAATTCTAAGTTCCTTCTGTCACATGAAGTCACAAGTGCATGCTTCCGCCTGGGACATCTTGCTGGTGCTCAGAAAGCTGCAGGATTTGGGGCACTTTGTATGTTCTGAGCAGGGCCGCTCAGCCTGTAGTTGGCAATTCCCAGAGGAGCAGTATTAGGGTGTGTGAAGAGTGGAGCAGGAAAGGGCAAGCCCTGGCCTCGCCTCTTCGCTGTTTGATCTCATGCCAGCACCAGTGTCTCCGCCTTGACTGCTCCATGAATGGCAGCAGCACTTGCTTCAAGACCATGTGAGGGTTCCCTGGGTCCTGCATGCAGAGCTCCTAATGCAGGGTCATTTCCTCTCGGTGGTCACAGGCCTCTGGGCCTTACCCCCAGTTCCTTGTGACAGAAGGCTGTGATACTGTCCCAGCCATGCTAGTCAAAGAGTTTCAAGACAAAGAGCTTCAGCCAGGGGTGGTGGCGCATGTCTGTAATCCCAGCACTTAGGAGGCTGAGGCAGGAGGATCACAAACCCAAGCCCAGATAGGGCAACTTAGTGACTTAGGAAGACCCCAACTCAACATGAAAAATGAAAAAGGCCTGGGAATATAATTCCAAGAGCCCTTGATCCAATCTCCAGATAGAGAACTCATCATGGAGAATATATGCTGATTCCTGGGCCTGCCTCCGGCCCCACCAGGCATCTCAGGCTGTCCCCACAGACCCCCTTACCTCTAGCAGTGTCTGCTTCTCTGGGTACCTCTCCCTCTGTCTGCCTCGTGGGCACTTTGTTCTTGTCTATCTTTTTTTTTTTCGTTTTCTTAGTCTTGTCAATCAATTCCTTCTCCTAAGGGCAAGAAATTGAAAGTCTATGATACATCCAGGAAATGGAAGAACCTATCAGAGAAGGACTACATTGAACGTGCTGACAGAATGGCTTATAATGGAATTTTTGTGGGCTCCAGGTGAGGCAGAAGAATGTGTCTTAGAGAACAGAGAGCCAGTGGAGAGACTGGAAGCTTGAGGCTTTAATTTGAAAGGCCCAGAAAGAATTTCATGGGACAGAAGGAGAAGGAAATAAGACCTTCGGGGACTCCCCACCCCACTACTGCAGACCAATCCCTGGACTTTGTCACTAAGTCACATGCTCAGCCCTTGTTTTGCCCATATATTTTTTTATTTTATTTTTGAGACTGGGTCTTGCGAAGTTGCCCAGCCTGTGTTTGCACTAGTGAGCCTCAACCTCCCAGAGTTCTGGAATTATAGGTGTGTACCATGCAGCCTGGCTCTTCATGTTGGGTCATGTTCCAGAGCTCAACCAAGGTACAGCTGTTTTGCCTTTGAGAGAGAGGTGCTGCCATCATTAGCAGTTATTACCTCAGACCAAAGCCAACTTCACTCCCTGTGGCATTGTTTGTTCACCAGCAGCCTGGTGAGCTCAGCTGCATTGGGATACCCTCTCCCTCTGTGAGGGTCCTCCTGGGACCAGTGGCAGTCGAGCTATAGCTGCCTCCACAGAATTGGCAATGGGTCCCATCCTTCAGCCCCCTGCTGAGGCACAGGGCTTGGTGAGCAGACTGTAGCTGGCCCTCAGGCCCCACCGCCTCTTTTGTCAGGTGCTTGTCTGCAATGGGCAGCCTAGAGCACTGCACATGACCGCATGGTGGGATCCAGGTAGGGACCTTTGGACCAATTGCCGAGCATCTCACACTCACATGATGGATGCTGGCTGGTGCATGCTGGTTAAGCAGTCTCCATGAAGTTTTCCCTTTTTTTGCTCTCAGCAAAAAAGATGCATCTTCAACACTCAAGCTCTCAGGTGACTCAGATGCAGGTCCAGGATGTCCCCTGTGGATCTGGTGAGCTCTGTCATCTCTGTCCCTGTGAGGGGAGCAAGCCAAGCAGGCCTGGTGAAAGAGGAGTCTGAGAGGAAGAGGGTGCCTGAACAGCATCATCTGGGTGCCTGGTTTCTGCTAGGGCCTGTGCGGGGACGTGACAGCTGTGGGGCTCTCTTTCCCTCAGCACACACCTGAGCAGGAGAGAGCACCTTCTCTGTAAATCCTAAGCCTTGCAGTGTAGAGCACATTTGGCCTCTTTACAGGGACACAGGTATTGGCACCTTCAAGTGAGTAACACAGAAGTATGCAAGTGTGATTTCCTCTTTCAAGCGCTTCACTGGGAAAAAAAAGTAAGCTCTGTCTGTCTTCTTACCCTCTGAGTTGTATTCTCTCTGTCTCTGTTCTCTCTCTCTCTCTTTCTCTCTCTCTCTCTCCCTTCCACCCTCCCTCCTTCCTTCCCTCCCTCCCTCTCTCCCCCTCTCCCTCTCTGTAAGACACTGTCTTACTATGCGTTTGAGGCTGGCCTTCAACTCTATGTAGCCCAGGCTGGTCTCAGACTCACAGTGATCCTCCTGCATCAGCCTCCTGAATGCTGGGATTTGAATTTTATCCTTGACCACATATACCCCGATTGCACCTGTGGGTGAAGAGACCAGCAGACACTGCCCGGAGTAGCCAGAGTGTGTGCACAAGGTGCGACCCTTAGGCATTTTTCTCTTTAGCCAAGCCACAGTATTTACATGCTAGGCAGGCACAGGGCCTTACTGTGGAAACCTGAGAAATGTTTGTCGAGTGAGGTAAATGGAATTTCCTATGAATATGCAAGTCTCTGAATCATTCACTGTCACTCTATTAAAAAACATAGAAGTTTCCTTCAGAATTTAGTGCTAGAAAAACCTCTATTCCCCTAAGGATCAGGTAGTCCGCAAGTGAGCGCCACAAACCTGATTGTACTCTCTTTGTTTCCTTCTTATTTCACATCTAAGGATCACCACACTGAATCGGAAACTTGGTCACAGTGATTAGAGTGGTAATTGTGCAGTTTTCATTTATGTCTTTTTTTGAGACGGGGTCTTGTTATGTAGTTCAGGCAGGTCTTGAACTCTCTATGGAGCCCACGCTGGCCTTGAACTCACACAGATCCTCATGCTTTGGCTTCCTGAGTGCTGGGATTACAGGTATATGCCACCACACCTGGCTTTAGTTATGTCTTTATCGCCCAGCTGAGAAAACAATTCTCTTTACTTCATCTTCTTTGATGGTGGGTCGTTGCTTGAATATATTGTAAGAAAAACTGCATGAGTTTCAAAATGAGTAGGTGACATGGGTCTGGAATCTCAGCACTAGGAAGGCTCAGACAGGAGGATCGCAAGTTCTAGGTCAGACTGGGGAATTTAATGAGGCCCTGTCCTAAAATAAAAAATAAAAAAAAGCCTGGAAATTAGCACAGTGTAGAGTCCCTAGATTCAATCTCTAATACCACAAACCAAAACCAAACCAAAACAAAAGCCTGTCCTTGAGCTGCGCATGGTGGCACATAATTGTAATCCCAGCACCTAGGAGGCTGGTGGGGAGGATCACCAGGAATTTGAGGCCAGCCTGGACCACAGAGAAAAACCCTGTTTCAGAAAGGGATTTGGGGTAAATGTAGCTGAATGGTGGAACCCCTAAGTTCTATTTCCAATATATACAAAGCATAAGTAAGTAAGTAGATAAATAAATAAATGGTGAGCAGTGGAATTCCTTGGGTCGCTGCCTCAATCATATTAGCACTCTGTCCCCTCATTCCTGAGGAATACAGCACCCTTCTGATCCTCACACTTCCGGGCAGGGGAGAGCAGGATCTGGTCACTGAAGGTAATGAATGTCACAGCAGGCCAGAGGAAGGCAGTCGCAGGGGGTCTGACCACACACCCAGCCTGACTGGCTGACCAGCTGGCCAGCAAGCCCCTAGCAAGGACACGGAGTGCACGGGAAACCTGCAGTGTGTCAGCATACCTCAGTGGCCACTAACTACCCGGAGCTGAGGCCTGCTGACAGAGGAGCCAGCTCGCATGCATGGACCTCACTTCCAGGGCACCTCTGCAGGTCTCAGCTATTTGGACAGATGAAAAAGCCGCGTCCCATTATTAAACTTCCTGCTTTACCCGTCCTGCCTAAGCACAGGATTCGTCACAGAGTAATTGTCCCCGAGCATCTATTTTTCTAATTCCAGCAGTCCACATGCTGTCAGCTGAGGATGCTCATGTGTCTCAAGAGAAAAACAGGAATTAAATTAATTACAAATAAGGGAAAGTATAAAGAAAGCAGAGAAGTCCCTCCCACTCCAGCATTGAACACTCACGTGTTTTTCACGGTGTCTGCCTCAAGGATCTGGATGTGTTTGACCAGGGCAGTGCCAAGTGACCCGGGGGTCACACTCCTTAGTTGTGAGTCTGTGCAACAGTGAATAATTCAGTTATTCTGGGAGATCAGACAGGGGCAAATGTCTGTTCAGGGAGTAGGCAACAACCTGTGGATGGGGACACGAGGCTTGTGTACCTAGGAGAGCTGCAAATGCTGCACACAGCAAGGGATATGACATTAGCATGAAAATGTCCTCTGGGAAGGTGACACAATGGTAGGTACAAGAAATAGAAAAATCACCAGGCATGGAGATGCACACCCGTAATACCAACACTCCAGGAGGCTGAGTGAGATTGCAAGAGACCAACCTGGGCAGCTCAGTGATTGCAAGGCCCTGTTGCAAAACAAAAACAAAGCAAAGCCAAACAAAAACTACCCCACACCAAACCAAAATAAAACAAGCAACCCCTCACACAGAGGAAAAAAAAAAAAACAGGAAAATGTTCTAGGCTTTGATTTGGAATCTCATTCCTGGGAATTTATCACATGGAAATAATTCACAAGAAGAAACAAGCTATGTAACAATTTATTTATTATATTACTGTTAATAACAGAAAATTAGAAACAGCTGACCAAAGAAGACTTGAGAAGTAACTTATGACACATTATTTTGACATTTAAAATTATGTTTAAAAAGACAAATGATCATTATGTTGATGATATTATGACAAGTTAAAAATATAAACTATAGTATGTTAGAACTCAGTAAAATCTGGATGGATAAGGGTTGGAGGAAAAATCAGAAAAAGGAAATAATGGATAGGGAGATTTATTTTCTTTCTAAATCTCAATGGTTATAGCATTGAGAATTCTTTCTGGGGTGAGACGAAATCTGTGTTGTTTTAATTTGCATCTCTGAAATGACCAATGAGGTCAAACACTTTTTTGTATATTTATTTGCCATTTCTATTTCTTCATCTAAGAAGTGTCTATTCATTTCAGATGCCCATTTTTGGATTGGGTCTTTAAATTTGAGGGGTCTGATTTTTTTGAGTTCTTTATTCTCCTTTTTTTTTTTTTTTTTGCGGAACTTGGGATTGAACTCAGGCCCTTGCGCTTGCCAGGGAAGTGTTTATTCCACTGAGCCATCTCCCTGACCCCCTCTACTTTTAAAAAAAAAACACACGTATTTTAGCACAGGATTTACAGGGTGTCACTACACAGATTGGACTTAGAGTGATCCTCCTATTTCAGCCTCCCAAGAGCTGGGATTACAGGCATGTGCCACTACGCCCGGTCTTCTTTATATAGATAGTAGTCCTTTGTCAGCAGAACAGTTGGCAAAAATTTTTCCCACACTGTGGGTTGTGAGACTTCATTTTGTTTCAAAATCTGGAACATTACCAGAGGGTGGTGGCCGGTTAAAGTATCTTCATGGTAAGAGGAATTCAGTTAGGGATTCTTTTTCATGTTAATATTTAAATGCAACCCACATATAAAGAAACATGAATTAACAGGTGGATATTCAGCATTCAGACAAATAATACACTTTTGCAATTTCTAAGTACCAGAATTCATGTAGGTTCAGCCCAAGGTATCCTGTAGTTATAACTTGTGGTTGTAGGGACTTCTTTATTTAACCCAGCTGGCTCAGAAAAAGCGGTCTCTGAAAAATTCACTTCGCAATGATTGCCATCTTGAGTGCAGTGTGCAATATGACCAGCAGAGGGCATATTTGTATTGACCAAAAGCTGAGGCTCTGCATTGGTGTAATTTCACCATTTTGCTAAGAATTGAAACACTGTCAGTTTGTGGTTGTGAACCAGAGAAGGATAAATTCTTTCCCTTAGTAAAATAATCTGATGTTTAGGAAGTATTGGGACAAACTAAGGAAGAACTTTGAATAATAACTTACAACTTATAGCTGCTTTTAAAAAACCTATAAAACATCATAAAAGTTCAGTGTACAGGAAAAAACTATAAAATCATTACCCAGGGATATCAGATGTAGCATGTGAAGTTTTAACATTTTGCCATATTGGATTCACATTTTTTCCTTTGGAAATAAATATGTAGATGGGGGCTGGTGAGATGGCTCAGTGGTCTAGGGCACCTACTTGGAAAAAGCTAAACTAAGCTAAGCAAAAGCAGAGACCGGGGTTCAATCCCCAGTGCCACATGCCGGCCAGCCCCGCCCCCTGGTGGGCTGAGCTGGCCACACACACACTAAATAAATAAATAAATAAATATGTAGAAACAGTTTATGAATTCATCAGGCTACATACTGCCAGCGTTGGATGTTTGGTCACCTCCAGAGCCCAGTGCTGGAAGCCACGGTGTTGGAAGTGGCCGGGGAGGCTTTTAGGTGGGGCCGGGTCTGCCTGCACAAATGGACTGCAGACGGCTTCTGCCCAGGGGCCTTCAGGATGGGGCCCTGCTCTCCCTCTTCTGCCCTCACTCCTCCCTCCACTGCCCCATGTGTGCATGTGAAGAAGGCCCACACCAGAGCCAGCACCTTGCTCTTGGATGGCAACCTCCAGAACAGCGTGAGATCAGTTTCTGTTCTCTGTGATTACCCAGCCTCAGGTGTCCTGTTACAGCAGTACAGAGCAGACAGAGACGTCATCACCAGTACCTCGCTGTCCCTGCAGAGGCTGCTAGTGTCTTAAACTTTGTATTTATCTGTCCTTCATGTTCTTATATCAGCACCACTTAGACCACATCTGTCTTAGTCCATTTTGGTTGCTCTGTCAGGGACCCTGAGAATGGGCAAAAATACACCCAGATCTGGAAGTCTGAGAGCATGGTCCCATGTCTTCCGAGCTTCCTCAGAGGCCTCTCACAGAAGGCAGGTAGGCCGGGGAGCTGGCCTTGCAAGAAGCCAGGGTTGCAGCAGCCAGCCCACTCTTGGGAGAGTGCAGGCCTCTTTCTTTACTCCCTCATTTTGGCCAAGCCCAGAAAAGCCCCCTGCATGTTGGGCAAGAGCTCTGACACAGAGTGACACCTCGAGCCCTCCCTGCCGGCAGTAAGCTGATGAAGAAGGCTCAGAGTTTTCTTTTTCTGACAGAATAGGAATAATGCAAGCGGCTCCCTGGTGTCTGAAGAGTTGTACAAGACCTGCTTCTGTCTGTAACCCCCGTTGTTTCAGGCTGCTCCTTAGAGCCCTAGCTGTCACCAGGCTCTGGCTGCTCAGCGCGCACAGCACGTCGTAAAGCACAGCAGCGGGGCACCCACCCGACATGTGAAGCTCCAGTCCACCCGAGGAGACCCTCAGCAGCTCCGTGGCATCCGGAGGACTTCGAATGCCAGGTGGTGAGGCTGCCTTATCCGCACTGCCCGCGGCCCGCACTTAGGCTTCAGGAGCCGAGGGCCAGAGAGTCCTGAAACAGCCAGTGCCCTGGCACGGAGCCTGGTTTGCAAAGCCAAGTAACTGTCACGTTATCACCTCACGCTTTCCTGACAGGAAGCAAATTATGGCTGTATAATTGAGCTTTTTATTTTTTATTTTTTGGGCAGAACTGGGGATTGAACTCAGGCCTTTGCACTTGCCAGACAAGTGCTTATTCTACTGAGCCATTTGAGCTTTATTTATTTAATTAAAAACCTTGCTTGGGCACTTACTCTATGGCAGGCATTCTCCTAAGCACATGCCGCCTATTAATGCCTTTATGTCACCAACATGCCATGAGGTATCACAAGTGAAGAAAAAAATGTCCAGAGAGAGAGAGAGAGAGAGAGAGAGAGATTCAACAACTTACTCAAGACCATGAAGCTAGGCCTCAGAGAGTAAGACTCCAAGGTCAGGGCTCCTAACAGTACCTGCTGGTCAACCTCCCCCCATCACATTATTTCTTTCTAAAAACAGGTTAAAGAGATGCAATCAAATTTAGAGAAATGTATGCTAGAAGCAAGGACACAGTTGGAAAGTGTGTGTCACCAGTATCAAATTCACCCTGGGATTTACTAAAAATGCTGTTGTCTAGTTTCTGTCCAGCTTTAGTGAGTGAGAAATTTGGTGGGCAGGGCCCAAAAAGCCTTGTCCTTCCAGGTGGTTCTGACACACACCGAAGCTGAGAACCATTGGTCTAGGAGATAAAAAAGAAAAATCGCATTCTCTCCTTGGGCTTTGGTGTTGTGTGTGTATGGGGAGTGTATGAAGAGCACTTTCCTCTGTCCAGGCTGGTTGGGAGGAGGCTGATTTACTCTGGCTGGTGAAAATATGCATGTCATATTCTCACCTCGTCCCAGCCTCCTGGCATTTCTTGCTGGAGGCAGCGTTGGCACACTGCTTACAATTAACCATGGAGATCACTTAATTTGGAAGAGGAAAATCCTGGCAATTAACCTTAAGGCTTTTGGTGGGGGTGGTGTGTGGTGGGGATTGGTCCTTAGATAGCAGAAAAAATCTCCTTAGCATTCCCTTCCTTTTTCCTTTCAAAGACTTGAAATCCCTTTTAAACATTAGCATTTATCATTCAGGACAAGCAAATGCCTTCTTTAACTTTCTGCAGTGATAGTTCATTGCATTAGAGACTGTATTAGAGACCTTTATAGAACCCAGCTGGAGCCTGCCCTGCTTGCATGAGACAGGAAATCTGTTTTGACTGACTGGGTTGTTGCTGAGTTTTGGCCACGGTTTTGCTGCCTGAAACCTCCACTGCACTTGGCCGAGACCCTCGAGACTCCTCAGTGTCACATTCTGCATATGTGATTAACGATATGGAAGATCTGAAGAGCGCGTTTCCCTGGCTAGTGTCATCCAGCTTTGAAAATGGAGGTGACAGCAGCCTCACACTAGGAGAAACACTGCTCAAAAGCTTGTCCAAACCCAGAGATTAGGCTACCAATATAGGTTATTGTCTGAGATCCAGAAACTGTGAGATGCTTTAAAATTAGCACAAAATCATTATTTTTGAGGACCATGTCAATGGAAAGAAATGGTGAATGATATCAACAGAAAAAGATCTAGTTTAAGACAAAATCCAAAATTTCAGTCTTATTAGTACATGTTTGCAGTACATGACAATGCCATTAACCATGGGCAGTTGGTGCACAGACCTTGTATACCTTAATTTCTTTTGTGGCCCTC